TACATTAATCACTTTCCTTTACAAAGGATTGGATTTATTGCACTACATTATTTTTTTTTTATTTAACAGCACGTTAAACCAGACATTTTCTGTTGATGCACTGGAATGTTTTTAAGCAAGAGAACAAATTAATAAAGAAAATGTTTTAATTTAATTAACTAGCTACCAACCAGATTATTTTTGTATGGAATTTTGATTTAAATCTGTGAATAACAATTTGAAATTCAAGACTTGACTTACTTAGATCCACTAGTCATTCAAGTCAGGTATTTCTATGTATCAATATAAGTTGAAGGGATAGTTCCAGATAAATTTTTAAACCCAGTTTTTTTTAAACATCCTCCAAATTTGTTAAATGGTTAATTGTTACCAATATTACTGATGTAGGGTAATTGTATATTGTTTGTTGAATGAATTGACTTTAACCACCTAACAATGCTATTAATTCTAGAGTATGTAGAGCTTTCATTTTAACCATATCCTTTCTTCAACTTAATCAAACTGTAATTTTAACTGCTATTATAAGATATAGTAAGTTATATGTTATACAATAGTATAAAATAATTGAAAATTATGATTGATCATTGATTTATATATGTTGTAAAGAATATTAATGAGATAAAGGAGAACTCTACAGTCCCTTCTGATTGTGATATATCATTAATAAATCCTTACCACCACTCTTTTAAAGAATCTATATTTTTCTTTTCTTTTTTTGTCATGGTAAAAAATACTAAAATATGAATTCCTCAATAGGTGTAGTCATTGTGAACTACATGAAAACTTTAAGCAGTGTTTTGCCTCATTATGTATTTTTACAACTAATCTTTACTAAGATATCATCAGAATTGAAATATGGCAAAAGTTATGCTTATTAAATTTATGATATTTAGAATTAAGAGCATGAGCTTAATAAATGCTATGTTGAAGATATAGAATCAGGCATGGTATTTCATCTCTTTAAGTTTAAGTTTTATTATCTTAAGTCACTAAGTTCTGTATGTTGACATGAAATATTGTGATAACTGACAGCATATCCTGTATATATATGTACCTATATCTAACTATGCTAAATTTATTACTTCTTGTATATAATATTATGTGTTGAGAAAAAGCGTCTCGATTTATCAAAGGTAGTGAGAGTTTGTTACTCCATACCCTTGATTAAGCATGTCAATATTATTTTTACAAATGGCTAAGAACCCTTCTTATACATTCTTAAGTTTGCATTAATAGCTATCACTCTTCATTAGGGGTAGAATTGTAGCTAATATTTCCTTTTAATCTAAAGTATTTTCAAAACTGAAAAATTCAGAGAATAAGTTAGTGGTAAGATTATGGTCATGCATTATTAAAAGTAAGAAGTCTGATATACCTGTTTATATATATAGGTATAACTGAATATTGCTGGCTATTCACACATTTTTAAAAACTCTTTTGAAGCTGTTCATCTAAAAGTTATGAAATAATCTATTTGACTATTGATATTTAGCCAAATGTTTGTAGTGTGTTTAAACTTATAGTGAAATTGTGATATACATTTTTGTGGTTTTTTTTGGTTTTTTTTTTTAATGTTTAATGGCGCTTTTGTATAAATTTACCTAATTTGAGCAATATTAACAGTTTTGAAATATGTTGCTATATAAGCATTTATAAAAGTTTTGTCATTTAAAATCTTCGAACAGTAAAGTATGAAGAATTGTCTACTTTCATTTCAATGATAATCACCTAATGAGTCACTTTAAAAGATATAAAAGCCATAACATTTTATTATCAACCTACCTGATATGTCTTAAAGTATCGTGTACATATAAAGAATTGACAACTGGTTTATAGGTGTGACTTTCCATCAACACTCTGCCAAAAAAGGAAATTGGTAAGCATCATTGACTGAATCTCTCTATGGAAAATAGAATAAATTCCTTGAAGGGTCTGTAAAGAAGGTCAATTTATGACTCAATATTTTGATAATGGCCTTGACATTTAAAATGGCATGATATTGTTCAAATTATTTTTTAGCATGTGACATAGTTAAAATATTTTTATGTTGAGTCCCATATTATATTCTGTTAAATTTTGTTATTTAGTTATTGTATATACGGTTAGATGTTGTAACTCTGTTAAATAATCATCTGATTTACTCATTCATATTTCTTCATTTGATATTCAGTTATACTCTCATGGTAGATTTGGGCTGAAACTGATATATCACATTATATAGCTTATTCTTGTGTGTGGTAAAAATTGGTTGGTTAAAAATTATGGTGTACATTACAATGTTCAGATAAATTTAAAATGAAGAAATGCCTATTATTTCTTGATAAAGATAACTTTACTAAAAAATAATTCAAATTGGAAATTCTAATATATAGTAGTTATTAATTGTAAGCTCAATTGAAGAAAGTAAAGTTCATAGTATGATTGGCAATCTAATATTGAAATCAACAAATTTGAATGCTTTATTCATAATATTCCATATTTATGTGTTCCTGCTTTGCTGACTCAAGTATATTATTAAAATATATACTTATATTCATTATTTTGAGAACTTTTAACCATGTAATTCATTTATTACAGGATATTTTGCAATTATGTTATATATAGGTTGGACAGCAATCCTTTACCTAGTTTATAGTTTACTATCCTTCTTCCTCCAGACAGCAATCCTTTACCTAGTTTATAGTTTACTACCCTTCTTTTTCTATTTCATCTGATTTGTAGATATGTTACCATAAAAGGTTGTCAAGTCATAATCTGTTCAATATTTGAAAAAATGTTTCGGTAATTTTGTTTTTGTTTGATCTTTTGCATGAATTGGAAATCTTAATCATATTTCTGGAATGAATTCACTAAAAATAGCCGATAATATTTATGTACATCAGGAGACATACACAAAACGCAAAGGAAAACAAAATGGTATATGTATGTTATATTGAATATATAGTCATATGGGAGATTGATGATATATAATAATGTTTAAATGATTATATTGATTATGTGAAATATATTCTTAGAGTAAAACAGCATTACTGTATGTAGTAATTGTCACTTAGTCATGACACATTATATTTTAATTCTATTTATATTTCATCTTTATTTATCATATCAATCAATCTGATGAAAATACATTCTAAAGCTTTGTTTAACATTGACTTGTCAGTCTGTTTTAAATAATGCTTTTGATTGTCTAGCAGAAATACAGAGATAATGATAATGAAACCATATTTATATAACTATCTCTTTAATAGATTCTGAAATATTTTATTACCCAGAGCTTCAATTGTTTGATTTACTTACCTTCTAGACTACATTGTCAAGCAAATGGTTTTTTTTATGCACACCCTATTATGATTAAAATCATGTCTTAGATTTAGTGATAATAAGTACAATGTGGTTTGAGTTGAAGTTGTATAGTTTGCAAGGCCCCTCAAGTCACAATGAACTGTTATGTTGATTCAACATGTGGCTGAATATCTGTGACCCTGTATAGAGAATTGTATTAATGTGATTATTATTATGTGATGTATTCATCAAGTCTTTCCTATCACATGTAAATCCTTGTTGTGCCTTTCAGTCCCTGATTTCTGACTAGCATATTCCAAAGATCTAGTTGTTTTCAAGATAAAGCTGTAATACTTCAACTTTTATTTACTAATTAAGGTTATAATTGAATTTTTAACACTTAGTTTTTAATTTTGGCCACCTGTGTTAATATTCCAAATCAAAATCTGATTTTCAGTTCACATTACCATTTTGAAAAGTGTTATGGGTCGGTAAAATTAAGGAGTTTTAGCTGGATATCATATAACTAGAGGGCTGTATATCTTTAAGATTATCATGATCAATATAAGTTATCTTTTGTTGGTTAAATTTCATCATAATTATGTATTTTCATTATTTGTCTTTGTTTTATGTATCTTTATATGTAAATCTTGAATTATCAATTTTTGTGAAAATTTGTATATATGTGAACTGCTTTGAAATTGCTCTCATCAGGGTTCAATCTTGTTACCATGGTTTCTGTATCATATCTTTTATCTGTTATTTGCAAAACTTAAATTAAAATGAACTATTTAAGATTAACATTGTTTTTATTTTAGCATATCTCGTGCTCAATATTTTCAGGGATCCCAATTGCTTATGTAGTTGTTTTTCTTATCTTGTTCTATTGAGATAGCTTTCATACAGCAAAACACATAAAATTTTCATCAAGTGGAGTGGACATAAAACTTAAAGCAGTCAAAAATCAACGAAATTACTTTATAAAAATACCAATCAATTATTTCTTTTAGACTATTGTCTTAATTGAGTAACAAATACCTAGAATTTAAATATGACGAATGATATTCAAATTTTTTAATCAATTTATATATAAAAAAAAAAATGGTGCCGCCTCTGCTATCGAAATGGTTCAATGAATTTTGTCAACAATATTCTCAGAAGGATGACGACTATGAAAATGTCATTGACATAATACCATATTATTTCAGGCAACAGATGGACATCTCTTTAACACGACAGAGGTAAAGATTAGATCGCCTTCACCCATTCTCCGTTTTCAATTCATAAAATCAAAATAATTGTGAGATAAATAAGACCAAAATTGAGTATTAACTATTGGGTTTCCCTTAAAGTGATATTACATCTTAGAATGAACATAAAATTAAATTCTCAAGAATGGTCAATATGAGAATATATTCATCAGTGAACTTACATGGTGTCATAAAGTTACAACAGATTCCCTGTAAAATCTAGAGAATTGAAAAATTCATAAAACTAAGTAATTATAGAAAAATGCTTAATCATAATATTAAGCGTTTTTCAATAGTTAATTGCATTTTTATTAAGTTTTTTAGATTTATCGGATTATATAAGGATCCTGTTATGTTATTTATGATACCAGGTATATCTACTGATGACTATATGCTCTTATTGGCCAACTTTAAAATTCTTAAATTTTATGTTTTTTCTAAGATGTAGTATCCCTTTAAAAAAAAGTATCATACTTCATGCCTATCCGGCCACCCATACCTTCCACCAAGTAAATCATTATCATAATGCACAGAATCGTTAGTTACTTTCTCAAAATTGTCTTCAAGCAGTTTCAATACATCGTGTTCTATTTTATGGAAGAACTTTCTAGGAGTGTAGCCATCTCTCATGGATCGACAGATTGTCACTACATCTGGCTCTGGAAGGAGTTGAAGAATCTCTCCTAGCTGGATTGTGCGATCGATAATTTCTTGAACCGTCGGAGTGTGAAAATATACCATCGATTCATTTGGTCGATTGTATCCATCACAGATCCTTGCACCCCTTTGATACTCAAATTCTGCTGCTTTTGGGGTACCTCCTAAGCAAAGTCCTACCTCACCAAGGGCGCGCAATTGATCGTCTGTATATTTTTCGAATTTCTTTAAAAGCATACGTAAATATGCCCGAAAGAGGGTATTTCTGTGACACTTTTGGACTTTGTTCATATCAACAACCGTTTCTACTTCTTTAATCACAATTTCAATGAATTCTTTCTTCTCCTGCAGGAACTTGGTCTTGTTCTGGTTGTTTGGTTTCCAGCCTATGAATCGCTGAGTTAGTCGGTAAAATATCTGGTCCAATTTACGCTCTTGCAACGTATTCATTGGACAGAATATACGAGCTATCAACCCCTTTAACATTTGTATTTCTGGTTCCAGTATACCTACATCATACAGTGGCATACAACTCGCTTCACAGCCGTAAAAATCTTCATCGATGTCCAGAACCAAGTTTTCTGTCGGTGACAACCAATCTGTGGTCTTCAGAAGTTCGATTGCCTTCTGCTCTGACATATATTCCGTTTTGACTATTCGCTTTATATCGCAATGATCAGGCGGAATTTCGATTGACTGCTGAGATTCGCGATCTCCAATTTGTAGCATGCAGTATCTCTGCTCTTCTTCAAAGTCACACTCGCAAATGGCATTCGTCTTATTCTCGGACGCCATAGTATAAGCACCGATATATTTTGTATATATTAAATAATCGTCCTCAAGTTTCTGTTCAGGATCCCAAGAAGAGAAGACGTAGATCCATCTGTTGATAAACCCAGTTATAACTGACTCCTGAAATTGGCAGGTTTCAAAATAAAACTTTCAAGTTTGTTGTAGAACCTGTTTTTCGTGTTGTGTTAAAGAAGATGGGTGGAACATAATAATATGATAGGGCATTGGCCATGAAGGGCAAGCAGCAAGGTGGTTAAAATTAGCCTGTAACTTTTCATGAAGCCAGACTCGAAAGATACGGTTCTTTTGCTAAAAATAAGTGGATTAAAAGAAAAATCTATTAGAACATTTCTATTGTCTTAAACCTAACTTTAGTCAAAGATAAATCGTTCTACTTACAAATATAAAGGCGTCGTTTTGTTGCATCATAAGGCGTATTTCATGCTCTGAAACCGGAAATCGGAAAAAAGGAACCGCCTGCCAGTTCTCAGGTGAAGCTCCATCTTGATGGGCATCAATATGGAACTGAAAAAATAACAAATAGATATAATGCTTACAAATTAAAGGCAAAGAGTATGTTTTACACTGTGTAAAAAGTAGATTCAAGTGAACATAACTTTACTTCTGTGTGAAGAGGATGTCGTTGTAACATGTAGCCTACCTTGTAATGGAGGCGAACAAATGTTTTAAACTACCTTGATAGGTTTTTCGATCTGGTCTTAAACTTCATGGAACATTCCTTGGAAAATTATATAGATTAGTTAATTTGGAAGGGAAAGCTCCTCGAAAAGTTTGCTGAAAAAGGTGATTTGACCGTAGCCTACTTACCAACGTGTTGTTCTGTGTTGGTAAGAGACCTCGATTGGCTGCATTATACCAATATGTTAAAACTGAAATATAAAACAAGATAATAACCCTTACAGATAATATTCACCAAATACGGCCAATTTGCACAATAAAATAGACAAAGCTACCCTTTCCAATGAGACACATAGGTCCACTTTCAACGGCGGCGCCAGCCTCCGGGTACTAAGGGTTCAAATAGGGGACAGACTAAATCAATGACGAACAATACTGTAGAAGGAAAAAATAATTCTAAATGCGGCAAATATGTTGTTGAGGCGCCATAGTCGTAATAACGTAAATCATATTTTCAAATCTGTTAAAGATAAAATGGGGTACAATTGGGGGTGCAAACCATTTTTCTAGTGGGGTAAATGACTCCCCTGTACCCCAGTGTCCATTTTCAAAAAGTGTCTGGTTTTTTCGTGTGGGTACAATTCATACTTCATTAATGCTATAATTCTGAACAGTTATATTACATGAATTCTATGTATCAGCTATGCTGCATGTGCCAGCTGTTGGAGTGTAGATCAAACACAAATCACCTTGGAGAAATAAATAGGTTATCATCACGGGGGTTATGTATTTAATGAGAAACAATGAGACAATGGAAGACCATATTTTCAAGGAAATGGTGTTGACGAAAGCAGTAACCAAGAATGAGATACAAACCTTCGTGATGTTCTTCTACAATGTAAACTGGTGTAACTTTGGGTCTGGGCGACACGCGAGTAAGTGGATTCTGGAGCCGTAACGGTTCAAACAATAGATCGGACTCCAGACGGACAACTGGTTCCCAATATTCTTGAACTGTTGAAATATCTGAAGATTTTACCATATGGTCAGTCCATAAGAACCATGTCCAGCACAATGTGGTTAAGAAGGTCCATACAACACAGAAGAAGACGGTAACTTCAAAAACTCTATATGGTGTTAATCGTGACATCGTGATCGTCTCCAAGAACAGTGGAACTCTTTCTACGAAATAAGTTTCCGTTAAAATTAGCGAGTGCTGTTAACAGATGGAAGTGGACAAGCACAATGTGACACTAAGTACCTCACTGTATAGTACTGGCCGAATTTAACCAGCTGAAACTATTTTCCACCGCAATTTCCACAAGCCCAAAAGTGGTGTGTCCTGGCCTATAAGTAGTTAGCTTATCATAAAATGAAAGCGTGTCTTCTACAGGTTTCAAAATGCTAACCGGATGCATTGCTGGGGTGTGAATGAAATATGTTACCATATCTATGGAAGCCGGATGCGGCCATATTACCCTCGACTTCTCGCCCACGAGAACAAAATTAATAGGCTGCAGCATTATTAATCAAACTTTTTAGCATTTTTTTACCCTCGCTTTTTCCTCGCTTTCTCGCCGTTTCCTCGCTTCCTCGTCTTTTTCCTCGTCTTTTTCTTCGCTTTTTTGTCGCCTTTTTCCTCGCTTTCTCGCCTTTTTCCTCGCCTTTTTCCTCGCTGTCTCGTGGGCGAGAGTAGATATGGCCGCAGCTGGCTTCCATACATATCAGTACAGTGTTAAATTGTTTGATGATTCCGGTATGTTCATGACATGAGCCATCGACACTTTGTATGATTAACATTTGTAGGCAGTGTACAAATACTGGGCAGACTGAACGGTAGAGGCAGAATAAAAATTGTGGCAAAATGGAGACGCCATAGTCGCAAGCCTCTCAAGGAGCTTTTGAGACGGTTCTGTCAAGATAAATTGAATTGATTAATTGCATCCTGACACATATTTTGGACAAAAACGTATAAACATCAGATTATATAGTTAAGGGTCAATCATCTAACATTAATCTGCTGTTCATCTTCATGTTTATACTAAAAAAGATCATTCAAATCTATAAAATTGTGTTTGCGACATTAGATACTCAATACACCTTTTAACGTTTTGTTTTGACAAAATCAAAGCGTTGGAGAGGGATACAATTTGATTGGCTGGTGGTATCATCTAAGGGATGTCCCGTCGTTAGATACTATAACTGTGGCTAAATTCAAGATTTAAATAAAAAATATTTGGCAGTACAGTGACAATTACCAGTATGAAATATACAACATTCAGTCTCACACTAACATTGAACCTTTTGGGGCAATACTGTATAAAATTACCAAGTTTCATCAAAATCTGTCAAGAATTGGGCCTTCTAGATTGTTTACAGACTAAAACTTGAACGCGTTTTTAAGAACACGGGTAATAGCTCAAACTAAATATTTTTTTCGAGTCTTCTGATTTTCAACAGGATTCATCATTGGTTGATTTCAAACACTCACACCAAGTTTCGTCAAAATCTGTCAATATTTCAAACTTATAGATCGTTTACGAGCTAAAACTTGAACGCGTTTTTAAGAACAAGGGCAATAACTCATACTAAATATTTTCAATTCTTTTAGTTTTCGATAGCGTTCATCCTTAATTAATAACACACACTCACACTAAGTTGCGTCAAAACCCGTCAAGAATTCTGCCTTCTGAAGTGTTAAAAAGTTAAAAATTGAACGCGTTTTCAATAACTGATACTTATTATTTTTCGATCTTTTTGATTTTCAATACGGTTCAGCAAACAGTAAACACTCACACCAAGTTTCATCAAAATCCGCCAAGAATTGCACCTTCACATTTCAAGAACAAGGGCAATAACTCATACTTAATATTTTTCGATTTTAACTGATTTTCAATAGGGTCAAGAACTGGGCCTTCGAGATCGTTTACGAGCAATTGTGGACGGACGGAAGGACGGACCGATGGACGGACGCACATGTTGACAACAATATACGCCCCCCATTCAATGTTGGCGTATAAAATAAAAGCTAATATAAAACGGAACGAATGTTTGGTTTCAATTTGACTGTCTTGAAAAAGTCCTTACATGTCATGTTTACATTTTAAGTAAAGCGTGTTCTAGAGCAGTGTTATCTTGAGTCTTGACCCAAAAAACATTTAAATCTAGACTTTTTGGTTCACACGTAATATCTTAATCTTCACAATGTCACCAACTCTGTCTTATACCTTGACCAGAGGCAGATTAACTTATAGGCAAACTAGGCAGCTGCCTTACGGCCTATGGAAAATTCGGTCCATGACAAATTTTGTAATAGTAAAAATTATCAAATAGTTAATAAATTTACGCAGGTCCATCGAAAATTGTCCTACTAGGAGCGAGATGTGCCGATATCGCGCATACGATTGATGCTGATGAGTTGATTGATCTGTTCCTGAAAAAAAAGATCGCAAACTTCCTGCCATAAAATTGTAATCACACCATGCCCACTCCCTAAAATAATAAATTAGGCCCTCTACCGCTCGTTTGCCTACGGCCCAACAAGTCCAAAATCCGGCACTGACCTTGACAGCACTTTTCCTGTATCACAAAAGTTGGTAAATGCAGCGAATTAGATAGTACGCTACCTATCACAATAGACTGTTCGTCTAATCGAGGACTGTACGTCTGTATTCCCTTGTGAATATTCAGTCGTTCGCATTTGCAATTTTTCGAATACAGACGTTTCGTCCAAGTCGACTGAAAACGGATTCGAGAAGAAACTTTGAATGTCAGTCGACTTGAGACTGGAATGGCTAGAATGGAAACAAGATAAATATATAATATAAACTGTTTTATCAGAAAATTTAAGGCAATAATTCAGAACGGTCTTTCAGTGAAGTTGAGTGTTCTTCTCTGAGGGGTATTGGATTAGAAAAAGAAACAAATTAATTTGTTGTAAAAACACTACGCTATTTCAATCTTATTTTATTAAATTTTAAATTTTATTTATTAATGAAATTTTAACAATAAAATTACATAGATCAATATTTCATAAGAAATAACACTATTTAGTATTTTCAGTCATTTGTACGAAAGTCGGGTCGGAACATTCCGACTTCCAATTTTTTTTAGCACTCATTACATCGATACAATAAACATATAATAAAGATATATATAAAGTAATATTCCACAGTGCATTGTACAAACTACTTAATCAGCGGTGAAAATGATGGGAAGGTTCGGAACCAGTGCGTCAAAGGAGAGTTTTGACCTTCACTCATTCAGTAGGTCTCCTAGTGTGTGGGCCATAATTCTGTGACCTTCAGCATGGGGGAAATCAATAGTAAGGAAATCATATAACAGGTGAAAAATGGTATGAATGCCATAGTTATTGGTGGCAATCCAGCATATGGCCTGTGAAAGGGTATCAAAAATTCTTGGAATGGATCTGCTACCAAGAGGAAGTCTAACAAAAACATAATATAACTTTCTCCATTTGAAACAAAATAAATGCCATTGTGAAGGAGTAATAGGAATATTCTTAAAGGCATCTGTTATGTCTAATCTACACAAAATTGATTTTTGGACAAAATTGTTTGATTTTAGTCACAGCATCATCCAAACGCACATATTTCAACGAGCACAGTTCTTTATCAATCATATCATTGATACTGTCTATGTCACAATCAGAGTGTGGCGAGGACAAATCTAAAATAAGACATTTTTTCCCAGAATATTTACCAGTACCAGTTGCCAAACCTATGGGACTAACTCTTAATTCCTTAAATGGAGCTTTTACAGAAGGACCCTTGACATAACCTTTACTAACTTCCACTGCAACTAACTCATCCACAATTTCTGGAAAATCTCTAGCTGATTTGAGATTCTTACATTCGAAATGCACAGTGGCGTTTTCTAACTCAGCCAGGGTATCAAAACCAACTCTTATTCCATTAGATAATTCTAATTCAAGTGCATTAACATCTGTTGGAGTAGTGGCTATTAAACTGAGATTGTTGGAAACAATGCTGTTAGGTTCTGAAATAAACTCTGCATTTAGTCAATCTTTCTTAGCTTTAGGAGTAACTTCTTGTACTGACCCCTTGTCACCTTTCCTCTTCTGAGAGCTCGACTTACTAGGGCAACTACTAACATCATGATCAGAAGTTTGACAGAAACCACAACAATGCACTCTAGAACAAGCCGAATTACTGCAACCAACAGATGAGGTAAAATTATTACAGATCGGTTGACCACCCACAAATTTTATGAGACGATTATACGTGTCAGTAAGTTTTTTTTAGCTGTATTTGTTTTACTGAGCTTATAACCCTGCATAGCATTTTGAATGTTTGGCAAATCAAAGGGACACATGGCAGAACTGTGTTCAGTAGAATGACATGCCTCACAAGACAAAACTTTAGCCCCGGCTACTACTTCCTTAACAAGTCTGGGTCTCCTTTTGCCCAGTTAATTAATGTGATTCCTTGCCAATGCATTGGCACATTTTGCTGAGAATAATTTGTGATATTCGTAAAACTTATCTGGCCAAATACTGGCAGTCTCAATAATGTGATTTAAGTAAATATCCATTTCATCAGACCTCCATGGAAAAGCAGTTGGATCACATAAAAATCTTTTGAACCTATTAAAAGCTATGATAAATTCACTTAATGATAAATTATGAGTTAGTCTGGAATCAGTTCGCCCTTTATCTACCTTGTCAGAGATGCAGGAATCAAGAAAATCTGTATGAGACAACAAGAGCTTGTTTAAAATAACATTTTCTCCCTTCAGTATTCTCCGGCGAATATCAGGAGAAAACCATGTCCACATAAGCTAAATCTTGTGCATTTGCACGTTGCATATTCCTAAAATCTACAAAAGGTAAATCAGAATAATTATGAAGATTCATACCGTTAGGTATAACAGATCTTTGATTTGTGGGTTGAATGGACACTAGTCGATGATGTTGAGATGGAAAAGTAGTGGCACTCCGTATTGATCCCAAAATAGAATTAGAAGCAGGCCCATGTGAATGTGATGCTACATCAGGTCGACGATTGAAATATGTGGAAATAAATGATTATTAATTGTATGACTTGTATCAGGTAAACTAGAATGAGTGTCATCATTCTGCAACTGCGAAGCTTGCTGCTGTAATAATGAATTATAAGATGTATTAGGAAATTGTACATTGTGGGTACAATCTTGAAAATAAAATGTTTGAAGTTAGAACAGAATAATTATGAGCTTGTACATTTTGGGTACAAGTTGGCATAGAATATACAGGAACAGAATGATTATGAGCTTGTACATTTTGAGTACAAGTTGACATGGAATATACATGAGCTTGTACATTTTGGGTACAAGGTGCAACAGACTGAGCTTGTATAGTTTGGGTACTAATAGTAGGATGTAAATAGTGAGAAGCATCATTGATATCAAGAGCAAGACTTGGTCCAGAATTAGGCACAGTTAAATAGTAAGGATGCATATTAGAGTCTCTAGTTTGATCAAAAACAGTTTTGACACTTTGGTTCTGTAACAGGGAAGTTCTGTGGAGAGGGTCTGCAGACAGCATACTAAAAGTTGTTGGAGTCTGTATAATATTTGATTGAGTATCCTGCTGTATAGAAGTAGAAGATATCATGGATGGAGTTGTCAAATTTCCACTGGTATTACCAATTGAGAGTGAGTTACCAGACGGGTGAGCCGAATTCAATGTAGGTTGATAAGAAGTGATATTTTGAATAAGTTGTAAATCACTTGGAACTGAATGATCATATGGTTGTGTAAGAGTAGCCTGAGCAATAGAGCTTGGTAACAGAATCTGTGACACTGAAGAAGGTATAAGTGTCTGTGGTGTTCTGGTATCAGTTGTATTAGTGGTAGATGTATTACTAGTACTGTGAATTGTTACTAGTATGGTTTTCGGGTTACATGCAATAAGTTAGCTTCTAAAAGGAGTCGTAATTCTGTTCTTGAAAATAAAGAGGGGACACTGATGCCCAGCTTGTTTATCTGTAGAGATCCACACCAGTTGTACGCTTAGGTCGTTGACCGGAGCTCATAATGAATACCAACACACAGACGCGAGTAAAGTCGAGTCTTGCCTTTGGATATATTCTGCACCATCAATAACTACAACGAAGACGACATATTTGATTCCAGAATCTGTAAATCATATCACAGTTGAAGTTTCTACAGTTTAAATGTTAATAACTTCAATCAAAAGAGTTAACAACACCAAATAAAAATTCTACAACTGCCGGAAAACTGTCAAAAGGTAAATGGAGGTGAATTATAAGAAGAATACTTGAAAAAAATGGTTAATCAAAGTAGAAGCCTGTAGTCAAGATGGCAGAAGACAAGACTGACCGCGTGACTATTCGCGACTAGCAGACGATGCTATTGCCGTGTAAGTTATAAATCACTCCTATATACATAGGATTCAATATAACTAAATATTATATAAAAAAAATAATTATAGTTTGGATGGATTTTTTTAGGTGGCACCTGGTTTTTCTTTCTGATTTCAAATTTCTCCGCATTATATACATTCTTCTGATATAGATTTTCTTTTCATACACCCGTCACTCAATTAACCTGACATGTTGTGGAAATAATGATTGATTTTTGGCATTCAATGTGGTGGAAAATTGGTCATTCATACGTCATTAGCCATAACATAAAGTACTCGCACTGTTTTTACTTTATATTAGTACCCTGGGTTCTAGAGGTTCCATTTCATTTTATTTTTTAAATTAGAATTGTCGAAATGTTTTCACGAGTGGTAAAATTTAAAACTGTTTGCCCGATTGTTTTTGTTTGTTGTTGTATTAGTTTGTATATATTAAGGATTCCATCTCTATATCGTCACGAAGATGGAAGTAATGTGAACATTATTAGACAATCTGAACTTGAACAATCTAATACCATTTCAAATAAACAACTTCGTACAGGGTTTGGGCATCCAGAACCCAAAAGTTCCAAATCTAAGGAGAAGTTGGTGATTGATATGACGGATGACGAGGTATTAATTAAAGATGAGGCTCGGACAACAACTCCTGTTTTTATTGTAGAAGAACATCATGAAGGTTAGTTATTTATAATTCATCATTATTAAATGAACTGGAGATAATGGGCTACTGTCGACATGTCTTTCGGATACATAATCCTCATGAGGGCAACGTAGTTTGGAATTTTCCAAAGAAGGCATGAGCAAAGGTTAATGATAATTTTAAAAAACGTATAGTCGTATCTCTGGGAACCCTGTAAATATGCAAAATTTGGAAATTTAAGGATTTCCTTTTTTTAATCAAAAACTATATTCAACATTTATAATAATAGGCTCATCAATCCTAGTACCTTTTGTGAAATCCTAAAACTGTGCATTCTTAAATATAAATGTATTTATATTCATATTTCATTTTGATATTCCTTACGATTTGATTTCCTTTCAATTGGATCAATTTTAGATCAATTCCACAATTTAAGTATATTCCAGAGCTTCCTATACGTTCACACGAAGTTTAGGGGTATATTGTTGTCAACTTTCCGTCGGTCAGCCCGTTCAATGAAAGAAAGACAGAAGTAATCATATTTTGGGAAGTTAACGACTTAGGTTCACTTTTAAGGATCTTTTCTACTATAGCTGGTCCTTGGCAAGACCTCTTGACATTGACCTTTCCAATGAAAATTGGACTTTGAAAAGACGAATTTCAAAAAAGAGAAAAGACAAAAAGATGATTCAACGACGTATAATGATGGTACTATATGAATTTATTTGGTCGCATACCATGTAATTTTGAAAATTTAATTAAAGTCGAACCAGATGTCAGATATTAAGCCTTAATAGAAATAAAGGTACAATTCATCTGGCAATTTTTTTACGACTCTATCCTTTTATATGATATATTTTCAAAGAATTTATGTTATTGAATATTTCCTTTGATGTAAAAAAAAATATTTATTTTTAGCACTGAAAAATCACTATGGCAAGTGGCAATAGTTGTATATGAAATAATCACCCTTAATTCACTTGATCTCACTGTGCGACAGGGTTGCAGCTGGGCGTTTTTTTTAGAAATTTCAGTTAAAATCCCCATTCCACTAGGCGGCGATCTACGGTGCTCCATGATCGCCAAGGTCGCCGTCGATGTACTCTTCTGCACAAAGATACATGGCGCGTCGCCAAGAACGCCATCATTATCTCTACTTGATCGCCTAAATCGCCATCATATCGCTACTTGACCTTCCAAATCGCCATCGGAGCGCTACTTTGTAGCCAAGATGGTAACTGAAGCGCTATCGGAGCGTGAGTGATCTCCAAGAAATCCGGTTTCTCTATCTTTTGCGCTTTGTGGCGATCTGTCAGCAATTCTTGGAGATCCAGCGTAAAACTGATGGGCATGGCAGAACGTAACAGGTTTTGTATCGGATCGCCTAGAGCTCTAATTGAGCAATGCTAGCTATCAGATTTAGTTTGAGTGCCATAGATCACAGCGATCGCTCTCAGATCCCAATAGATCGTACCAGCTTGTAGCGTTGGCATCCCAATGTGAATGAATTAGAACCGTGGCATGAGTTACATCTGAAAGGGGCACGTTCACCATCATAAAGACCAATCGTACCGAAGTCTCAGAAATGGAAATTATCCAGCTTAGTATAACTGCTTACTGTCGACTTTTTTCCTTCATTATCCATTAGTATCCGTAATAAGTTAAGTTGCAAGGCCATTTCCACTAGAGCATGCGCATACTGAGTTTGCTATTATAGATTCTGTCGACATACCGTACAATATTCAGGCACGGGAGAATCTTGCGACTTTAATTTTAGCACTTCTAAAGACTGTGTATTCAAGGTAAAAATCACCGTATCATGGGTTTTAAAAGGAAATATGACGAATGGAGGCTTGGTTTGGAGCACAGATCAACTCCCAAAACGCCCAATTGTTGCCCTTTAAGGTGATTTTGTGGAGTGATTCCATTGTAATTTGGTTAGATACAGTAGGGGTAAATAAAGAGGCTTAAAACCCAATTACATCTACTTGAGCTAAGACATCAGCTGCTCAAACAATGCCTATACCAGATAGAGCAGTGGTTCCAAACCTTTCTCAGCCTTCAGAGTCTTCAAACCAACCGACACGGATGTGGAATATCACTTGTGTATGATGTGTGGGTAGCTATTGACAATTCAATTTGACAAAAGATAATCCAGATGCCACATACTAGTTGAGTTTAGATTTATTGACTTGTGGATTTATGTCATGTATATTTAGAATTCTGTTGACACATTTCCTACTCTGAACTGTACGGTTTAAACACATGGCAGTGTTTTATAAGCTTTCAGATAATAAGGCCACCTGTTACAAATTTTAGGTCTATTGTGTCTATAAGAATGCTTATAGAAACAAATATAAAACTTTACGTTTATTATTACAAGTTCGAACCTGGATGTCAATAAGTGACATATTTCTTTCTTTTCAATTTAGAATTCAGACGTTAAAATTGAATATCAACTGACGTAATTGATAACGATTTGTAATGTTAAAAGAACTAGGATTGTCGATTTCTAGCTTAAAATCGAAAGAGTTTTTTTTTTAAAAAAGCTAAGAACATACAAATGGCTAAAATTTGCTTAATATTTCGAAATTAATTCCACATTCGTCATTCGTCGTCTTTGGACAATGAATACTACTGGATGTAATTTTTTCGAAAAGTTTCTCCTTTCTTGGGACATAATAAACAGAACTGTGTCTTCTTAGGCCGTTTTCGAGCTTCAAAATCGATGTTTCGAAAGCAAGGATAATGGTTCATTAGATATTTTGCAATATTATTTTCTTTATTATTGTTTTAAATTGTAAATATAGTGTTCATTATTTTATTAAACTAATGCACCAGGTTTTGTCCACCTTCTAGCGGAAATATTAAAACATGTTGATTATGTCAAATATATTATACAGTATAGGCCCAATATAACCTGGGAGACAACTTGTTTGAGTAGCCTACAGCACAATATACCAATTCTTGTGAAGTTATTTCATTTTTTTAAGTTGCTCCATATTGGTTCCAAGAAGCTATTGAGGGTGGAATACCAAAACACGGAAATATATTGGTAAGAGATCATTTAAGAAAATATCAGTCACATATCGCAATTGATGCAATGTGCTAAACGTCGTTGAATACATCTATTGATAGCTTTTAAGATAAAGAAAGATAATATCTGCAGAAACCTAAAAAATCAAACATCATATCCTTCAATAAAGCCATTCAGAACTAAAAGGGCTAAAATTATATTGGTTTAAAATTGTGTTTACAAGATAGCGCAGTATATGCAATCAAATGGCATTATAATTGCTATATCAGCTGATATACGGTTAACTGATGTTGAACTCTTAGCTAGTGTATTTGGTGTCATAGAAGACATCACAATATTCAGACTTACATATATTTTGCTCTTGTTTTATTGCTCTAATTACAGATACATATAGATGGCCATTCTGATTTTGTCGAACCTCCATTTCCTGCTAATGCCTCTATATTCAGATTTCCAACTAAAAGATCCGACATTAAAAATCTGATGACGTCAAACGATGCTTTTATTATGGTAACTTTACATTTGTTTAAACTTGCTTTTATTGCGGGGCTCTATTCAATACTATTCAGATGACATAATATTGCATTGTAAGTTGTCTATTTTATATAAAAAAAAACCTTAATTGTAAGAGTTTTAAGGAGTAAAGATGGTAGGCATATATACGATAACGGTATTTGTGATTGTTGCAAATTTATTATGAAATTTATTATAAATTTATCAATCTTTTTCCAGAGTTCCGCATATTCTGGATTTTTCTCGAGAATCATTTTTATATATCCATCATGGGATGAGGAGCGTAAGAAGACAAATGGTGAATATGACAGAACGTTAGTGTCTTTTGGTTACGTACATGGTAAGACCCATAAAGACGAAAATTCCATATGTGCATGTTACCAATATTTTGTCCCTCTTGAAGTTCCATTTTGCTTCGTCCTACAAGATGTAGATACCGGTGAAGAAAAAAAGGAAATAAAGCCCAATTCCTGTGAGTTAAAACATACAATAATATCAGAAATTCTAACCGATAAATACGCCACCAAACTCGTGAAATCTACAGATTGGATTACCTCGGAGGATAATATTGTTTTTGATATAGATGAAGATTATTATGGTTGTGAAGCGGCCATTCTCCAAATTTTAAAGGCTAAAATACCCGAAGAAATTCTCGACGAAGATTTGGAAAAAAGTGTTGAAAATTTATTTTGTGCTGGCACAGCTAAGGAGGAGATGGCGTTTGATAAGATTCATTATGATCTACTGAAGGAAATTGCAACTCAGAAATTGTCGAAAACGCAGAGAAATCTTGTATCGAAAACTGTAGACATTATTAATCAAAGGAATTTGACTCAACATTTGTGTGTCGAATCCGATTTTTCGAATCATCTCGATTATTATATCCAAGATTTAAGAAGACTTAACAAAAATCAATTAAAGGCCATTGCAGAAACCGGTATTTGCCTTAAAAGCTCTCCTCGACAAATGTACTATGACCACATGGAGGGGATGCAGTACTGTATTGGTTATAATCGTCCCAATGATTCTCTAGTTCTCTTTTTTACACCGTCGCTTGAACAAATCAAGGCAAGAACTCAGCAATTACTTACCATATTTAAAAATCTTCCAAACCCACGCCTTGTGACAATTTGTAGGTCTGCACGTGACGGTTACGTACCAAGAAAGTATGCTAGCAAAATAGAATCAGACATTTTAGAATCTTTAATGAAAGTATTTCCAAAAATTACCTCAGAATCCCTTCATTATGATTCCAATTTATTAGGAGGAAAGTCATCTTGGTATGGCCGTCATGGCAACGAAACGTGGTAATGACAAACTTCGAGAATAACATACAATTGAATTATAAACCTAAAATAGTGGCTACAATCCACAGAAAGTGATTTTTGATTATTTGGACAATATTCTAAGGAGAATGCCATCGGAAGTATAGTTAGTCTCCAAATGCACCGTGTTGTATTATTTTTCTGGATAATCTACAGTTTTGAACTGGCAACCCACCTACAATGCAATGGGGAAAAAATTTGAATTGTATTCTTGTCGCTGTTATGTTGGAAAATTGCATGTCCTCCAATGAACAGACAGACACTTGATAGCTGACTGATATTTTTATTATTTATGTCATGATAGCTTTAATTGATTGCGCTGATGGAGTTTGGTCGATTCGGTCACAATGTTCTAAACATGTTCTTAAGGTCTAAATCAATCTTTACAATCGTAATCTTGTCATTTACTATTATTATATGTTAATATTGTTGCAATGTAATTATTCCTGCAAATATTCATCTTCAAAAAGTCAAGCTTTCCCTTGACTGCAATAGTCACCTATCTTGTATTGTGGAAGTTTGTAAATGAAACGATTTGATTTGATACGCTAGCAAATACAGCCCATTAGGGACATCGACAGAAAGTCTGTGAACGCAAAGCCATAATGTTTGCAGCTATTCTGTCTAGGATTGATTGGTTGTATTCGCTGTCGTCCAATCCAATCAAACCGCTGTATTCCGTGATAGAAGAATAGTGGCTATTGCAAGTCAAGTTCGTAATAGCTTTACATTGTGAAGAAGGGAAATATATTATTCTTATTATATCGTTGTTGTAATTTTACCACTTTAAATGCAGTGTCACGAGATTGTCCTTAAGGATATAACTTTCTAGTTTTTTTTTTTGGTGTTTTTTCTTTTGTTGCGTTTTACCTTCGAATTTGTTGGTTCGTTGGAGTTAGCCAGGGATTGGCTCGCCCATGACTTAACCAACCTACCATGCCACTGCTCAACCGAACTTTCTAGAGCACACGAGAGCTCCCAGCTGAGCAAAATTTCATTCGTGTCTCCCAGCTCAGCTCGCAGCTTTCGTCGGTTTCCCCCGCACACGCTAAGCTTAGAGCTTTCGTAAACGGGTGTCGAGTCAAAGACGTCTACAAATAACTAGATCACGTCACACTCACGTGACTTAAACAAAATGTCGGACGTCAACAACCCTTCGAATGATTCAGAATATGAAGAAATTTTACTTTTTCTTTTGTTGTTGCGTCGTCGCCGAATAATTGGGGGATCCGTACGTTGTACAGGCACGGATATTCCGCCCATATGTCCACCAACTTGTCTTCGATAATTGCTTCAGATACAAACTCGCATTCACCGATGGGCGCAGCCATTTTTGTTTGATCACGTGCTAGCGCATGCGCCCCAATTCAAAGTTGAAAGCTAAGAGCTTTCGAGTGCGCACACGGTAAGGTATTTTTCATTCGAGGAAAATATTATCAAACACGACAGATAGTTTCCTTAACGCCTCGAAAGAAAAAAACATACGTAAACTCCGCACACATGAGCTAAGAGGCACGAATAAAATTTTGCTCAGCTCGTGTGCGCTAGCCTTTAAATATATGAATTATTATTAAAAGCCTGTGCTGAAGAGTTGATGAAATTTTTATGCTGATAAATTAAATGATCTTGTTTTCATGGTATGACTTTTTTGTTAGAACGATAGCTTTAAAGTTTTTGCTAAGAGTCTCATCATCTTTTGATGAATTAGAAATGTTTTAAGAAAACATCGCTGCTGCCATGAAATTTTCAGTTGTGTGGGTGTATAGCTATCGGGCAGCCGTGTGATTCTGGCGACAAAGATATAACTGAAGTCAACTCAAACAATTCAGGAAGTTTGGAAGTGTGGGCATTAAATATTTAGAAATTATCAGGGAAATCCATATATTTTTGATGAATATATCAATAATAATTTCAAACTAGCAATTTAAAGTTGTATGTATCTTATATGGACAAATTTGAGTTTAGAAATATTAGAAAGATTAATTGTAGTTATTTCATCCAATAATTGATTTTCCTTTATACTTTGTTTTACTTTTTAGAAGTTCTAAATTCATACGCCAAACCAGTAAACCCTCATCACCGGTCATACCCATCCATTCCGGCCACGATGAGTATTTGATCCATGTACCATACATATAAGGGTTCATTGATTTAAGATCTTCATTGGGAAAGAACACATCCAAGAGTTGAACACTCCAATCTTCCGTGCCTGTAGCATTATTGAAAAAAGAACGCGAAGTGGCGCCAACAACAGCAGTTTCCTCGAGTTTGGGAACTGGAAGTGACCATACAGAGTCGTCTCCTTTAAACAAAGTTTTGCCATATTTACCAGAAATGGGTGGAACATAGTTCGTTTGATTTGTTAAGGGATTTTTCCACATTGTAAGTACCTGATCAGTGTTTGGATCTAAGAAGTTCCCTTTAATTGTGGCAACAATTTGAGGTCCTCCTGGAGTTAGATTCACTTTACACGTAAGTATTCCTTTAACTTTAAAGAGGTTTATGGGATTATTTCCAGTAATTTCGGAATAAACTCTGCCAGTAAAAGTTACTGTAAAACTGTCTAGTTTGGCAAGAGTTTCATAAATCAGTGGATCTAAATGAGTTGGTTTGTTTCTTAGTCCCTGTTTGATATTAACTTCAGGTATTATAATATCTGGTTTACCTTCTTTTCGCCTTTGGTCTATGACAGCTTTAAAGGCCGACCATGTCGTTTCGTTTGGAACTTCAAATGTGTCTGGAGCATTGAGAAAATCAGGAAACTTGTTTTTAACAATGTCTAATATGTCTTGTGGAACGTCAGCAAAGCCTTGTAAACATTTCCAGTTCGTGGAGACGTAGTACATGTGTCCATTGATGCCACCAAGCTCCAACCAGGGTAGGAACTGCGATCGTCTTGACCATGTGCTCGTGTAATTAAGATCCTGAATATTGGTAGTAGCCAATTTGCTGTACCTAGTGTAGAACTGAAACAGCTCATCAGCTTCGTATATTGGTCCCGCTGTGTATTTGGGGTAGTGCTGGGGATCAAGAACATTTGGATACTGCAATAAGATATCATTATTGAAGCCAACTCGATCATTTTCTAGTATAGTAAATGGCGTAATTTGTCCATATGTAAAGTTAACGTTCACTGGATCATTATGAATATAAAATACTTCATTTGGAATTCTAGTCTGAGGATTCATTAACACGTCTATTATTTCCCCTGTTTTGTAATTTCTGTAAACCAAAAATTCTTTGGATAAAGACAAATATCCGAAAGACTTTGGTACCTTTCGAGCGATATTGAAACCTTCCAAAAGGAAAACCTTCTGCAGAGTACCACCTGGAAACCGTAAGAATATAGTTCCGTTGATATAGTTGACTGTTTGAATGTTTGGATCCGTTGATCCTGTTGTTCGGATCACACTGTCTAGATTGGTTTTTGGATCGTTGAGGTCAAAGGCCAATGAAACACCAATGAGCGTAAATAGTGACCAGAGCGCCATAGTAATCAACTGTGAGTGAAAGACCAGCTATAACCTGAAGGGGGAAAAGTACAAAATTACGAATGATTAAAATATTTAAATAGAATTTTTTTTTAATTTAAGTAAAATCTAATTCGACACACCAATCGTATCATGATAATACAGGGAAAAAATTTGACAAGATTATGATTTTCAATGTTTTTTTTTCTCAAAGCAAATGTTAAACTAGAACTGACCTTTGATTACAAAATAATTTACAAAAATTTGGGTACAACTCAGATCCCACATTGACAAGCAGTTCGAAGTGGTTTACTTAGAAACATTAAGAAGAATCTTTCACATACTTGGCATTTATACTAGGAAAAATAGCAGTTCTGTGCACCAGGCCCGTAGTCGGACTTGATTGTTCGGATGTAATACATCCGGAGAGGCAATGATGTACGGTGTTTAATTGCAGTAACGAAATTCGGTGGTTGTCAGAATTTTCTCAGAGGGGAACGGGGTAATCCCCCCTCCTTCCCCTGTAAACACGGGACTCCTGTGCACTCATTATAAAAAAGGTTGAGCTATATACTTACCTTTATTCGTGTGAAAAGAGGTTAGTAACGGTCACCTGTAAAACTAAACTGACTATACACTGTATTTGTTATCTTATCAGGTGATGTAGATAACAACTCGTCTAGAATTTCATTTAAATCCATACTTATATTCAAACTATATCCTCATTTCAAACCACACATGACAATAATTTACATTACGTCGTGAAGGTTCATCGAACGATTGTCAAAAACCTGACCGAATGATAAGCGAGTTTACTGACGCATTTGTCTATTATTGGCAATTATTCAATTAATAGGAGAATATCGGTGACAATCACTGAAAAGTGTTAAGGTGTGTTGTCAGTATCATCTGTTCCCAACATTTGTCCACTACATGGAAACAGGAACGTTGTAGAAATGTTGATAGTGTCAACACACTTTAGTTGAATAGCTGCCGACATCCAAGCTGTTGTTTTTCGCCACATAGATGTCATTATATGAACATAGGCCTACCTAGAACCTGCATATACCTATATTTTTTTGTGCATTAACAATTGTTTGTCATTCAGAATTTCAAGCTGCAAAAGCATGTACCGAGATATTAGTTTTTTCAGCGCGTTTTGTCTTCTTTGTAATCAAACGCTAGGTTCAAGGGCGAGTAAACGTTTAATGTCCGGTATACCCTTTGACTAACTATATGGAAATGTTTTTTTTTTGTTATACATACCACAGACCTACATTATTGTATTATAGAATATTAAAAATAGAAAATAAATTCATGATTATTCACGCTTAAATCTATTGACAATCAAACATATTCTTCCACTATCTAGTAACGGCTCATAATGCCGTCATTCATTTTGGAAGCTTATTGTCACACTTGGTCTACGCACAGCTGCGGCCATATATCCTCTATCATCCAGTCGCACTTTGTCGGCGGACACTAACGACGAAATAACCTCTATCATACATTCTTACGTTGTCAACGCACACAGTTACGACGACGTAGCCAGTCATACATTTTCTGTAGGGAGAGCAGCCGAAAACTATACATAAGAGAATAGATCAGCCGAGGCGCGTAAGCCTCAATATCATTCATGTGTCAATATCATTATGAAGATGTGCACTACTGAATTTGGTGATGATCCGATGATTTTCTTTAGAGATATCGCATAAAACTCTGATATCGCGTTCGTTTTTTTTTCTCCACTTTTTGGCTCGTGCTCACTCTACAGACTACAATTCTCTATTGATTCTTTTGATCTTTTGTATGCGTTATGAAGATGTGTACTATTGAATTTGGTGAGGATCCGATGATTTTTTTTTGGCTCGTGCTCACCCTACAGGCTACGATATACAGTTTGTTTTACAGTTCACATTTAGCTCTTTATCAAGCTGCTGGTGGGCGTATTCGCTTGCGTGACTTGCCGCAAGTCTATGTTTTAACACAACTCATGAACTTGAGTAGATTTTATCATTAACAAATAAATCAAATGATTATCATTCATTGATTAGTCAAGCATCATGTCTTCAAGTCGAGGGGATGTTTTTTTTTAACAAAACAACATTTAGTGCCCAGCCAAATTTTCAATTAAAAAGTGATCTATTTCCTGAAATAACAAATGAAGATGAACTGCCGGTTCAAGATAAGATTTGAATACTTTAGTGAAAGATGGCTTATGTAAGAAAACTGAAGGTAAATCAAAGTTGGCGGTGAATCTTTTCCAAAAATGGAGGGCACATAGATGGACTAAATGTGGAGCATTGTGACATCCTTAATCTATTAAATGAACATCTTAATATGTTACTTGGATATTTTATAGCAGAAATCAAAAATGAAAAAGGTGATGATTATAAACCAAATACATTGTATGAAATCATTATTTCGACCCAATATTATATGCGACAGAATGGTCGTTTTCTTTCTATGATAGAAGATGGTGATTTTCGTGGAATGAAGGCTGTTTTGGATGCAAAAATGAAAGATTTGAACCGCCAGTTAAAAGGTGTACAGAGACGACAGGCCGATATTATAAATGAGAAATGATGTGGAATAATGGGATTCTTGGAACCAGCAGTCCACAACAACTGTTGGATACCCTAGTCTTTCAACTGGGTCTCCATTTCGCCTTAAGAGCTGGACAGGAACATTGTAATCTTCGTAGAGTACATTGTCTCAACTGACAGTCAAACTAGATAATCAGGACCTTAAATATTTAGAATATCACGAGGATGTTTCAAAGACAAATCAAGGAGGCTTACAACATCGAAAAATGACACCGAAAATAACCAGGGCATATGAAAACAAAGAATATACTCTGAGAGATGTCCAATGAAAATGTATGAAAAATATATGACCTTGAGGTAAGTTAATTATAAACTGTTTCTGATTAACTCCAATTGTGAATGCGATATGCTCACTGAATACTAGATGGGAACCAAATCACCAATACAAAATATTATACACCAATAATTAATTACAGCAATTTTGAAAACACTCAGTATCATAAATAATAATAAGTGTTGATACATTATGTTCAACGATCTTAAAATCTATAGGAAAACGTAATGTTTTGCTTTTGAAAAATGCCAAGTAATCACTTAACTGTAATTTGCATTTTAAAATAATTTTGTATGTTGACTCCACTCGCGGCAATGTGAAATCGCTAGATATGTCATTCATTAGATTATAAATCTATATATATACGTTTATATTACTTTTTTTGTTTATTTCATTTTTTCCAGGCGTGAAACATTATTACGTTACGTAGTAAGTAGTTAATCCACAGTATGGCTTCATATCTTGTACCTTTGTTTTCTATATTTTAGTTGTTATTGTTGTTGCCTATATCTTTTCTAGTTACATGTTTGTATCATTATATTCCTGATGACTGTGTGAGAACCACATTGAAACGTTGAAGTAATAAATATTCCAGAAGTATAGGCCTATATCCATATAATTGCCTTATTTAATTATTACGTGAGTGTACCGGTTGGCTATAATAAATTTTGTATTTTGTTGTCTGTTTGTTATACCTAAATTCCACAGTCAGGTCTTAACCTAATTGTCTTAACGTACAATTGTCCATTATTACAATTAATAATGTACAGTTCCTCTTTAAGAATGAACAGTTATAGATTAGAAATAGACAGTTGGCGAACTGTGTTGAGGGTGTTAAGAGATAAAGTCACTTACTGGCCATATGCCAAAACCAGACTTTAACAAGACATGGTTTCCTATCCAGACCATCAAGCTCCACTAACCTCCTAGTTTAGATTTCGGGGAAGTTGAGGAATCAAGGGTGACGTTCTAGAATGGATCCGGCAATTTCTGAGAGGCCGGAGACAATAGGTACGAGTCAACGGAACAAAGAGCAGCTACCACAAGGAAGCGTCCGAGGACCTATTTGTTTGTTGTATTTACAAATGACCTACCAGAAGTTGCCATGTACGCTGACGATACAACGGTTTTTCTGCCTCTATCAAACCATACAGATAGGGCAATTCTATGGCCGTTAAATTTCAACGCTTCACGATTGATTTAACTGGCATAAGAAAAGAAATACTAAACCGATCATGGACAAAACGAGTCGAACTCATCCGCTGTCTCATTCGGACACGACATATATTATAAAAAAAATATTTTATTTCAATTAAAAATGCCTGAATATACATTTTTTGCCAAATTCTTAAAAATTTCTTTTCAAAAAAGCACATCAAAACAGTTTTATAAAAATATATTTCTTAGGCAAAAAAGACACCGGAATGAGAAAATAACAAACAATTGATAATAAAAAATACTCAAAAATCAAAAAAACTAATTACAAAATATTTTGTAAAATATACTCTTCAAAATGGCCTCAAAGGCGAACCGCGTGCAGTTGCTCACATTTAACATTAGCTGAACGACAGAGATATGGGAAAGAATATGGGTGATTCGTCTCATTAGTCTCAACCTTTGCCAATGTTCATTAGATTCAGCGAGTTGAACATTGACTTGGTCGTGAAAGGCTGACATCTTGTCCCGTAAATGGGCAAGAACAGACAACTCTGTCTGAAGATTGAGTTTGGTTGGATAGCAAAATTTTGCAACATTCTAGCCCCGAAGCTGATACGAATGGGATCCAATTAAAAATCAAAAAGTCGTTAACGGAAAGAGAAAATAATCCACGGATCAACAATTAATTACTATTGCGCAAAATTCTCCGGGTTTTCTAGTTCCCCATACAACCTGATTCATATCTGACATATAGTTTCTTATAAAAATCAAGTAGGTTCCTAAATTGATGTCGTATTACAAAGATCATCGTTATATTTAGTTGCTTGCGACTACAAGGCATACTGAATTGTAGACATGTTTATCTTGGCATTTTCATCCGGTTGTAATACAACATACCCCTGTTTTACCGTTTGCGATGCAAACCTCTGGGTATTGCAATCTGAAAATAAATTAGGATTATAGTACATGCATGCTTTCTAATTTTAGCTACATGTCTTTAACCATCTTCACCAAAATCGATGTATGGGCAGAAAAACATAAAATATCAAGTTTTGAAAAACTAGTACTATATAGATGCCAATTAAAGGTCACAATGTCTTGTTCAAAAAGTTGGAACTAAGTATGGTCAAGATACATCAACAATGGAGATAGTGAGCCCCCCCGTGTCATACATAACAAGTGGATTGATTAATCATGCCTACTGCTCTAGCAGAATATATAAGCCTAATAACATTGCGCATGTTGCAGGCAAGGTAGGAACGACATGACATTCTCTGATACTCTGACGTACCACTTACTAAATGTTCTGAGAATATACTTTGCCAATGTAGTATTATTTATTGCGTTATTCAGCTTTAATTGTCCTTAACCGACCATAGTGCAATATTTAACAAACAAGATCGGTAAACTTACCAACTCACGCCTTAGATCTTTAGGTCTAACTTTATCAAGATTTTGAGCATCAATGTTAGCACCATCCAGGTTAAGAGAACTGTTGAATCTCTGCACTTGTTCATCAGTAAGTGGTTTGAGGTTGGTATGTGTAGGTTTCGTGTGATTATCACGTGGTCTCCCATTGCTGTCACGTGATGCTATCTGGGCTGAGTAATGTAAACATGTGTTGCCATCATAATCTGTTTGTTCCAGTAGTTCTCTACGATAATCTGGATTCAATCTGCCCAATTCCTCTCTCACAAAATCTATCTCGTGTTTCTCTATGGCTAACATTAGAGGGGATTTACCACTATGTGTTTCCTACAATGAAAATCATAACAAATACAAAGGGACTTCGATATAATCAAACAGCTGAAAGTTCAACCGATTAGCCATACGCCCACACAGAAGCAAATTTCATGTCAGATTTACTCTTTTCAAAAAGCGTCTCTAAATCATTTAAACTTACCAATATGCATAACCCCGGCGAATTTGGTGGATAACACCCTTAAAAAAGAAGCGTATTCCTCGTCTATCGCGTTCGGATGGTTTCCAAGGAAAAGATCTTACCTTCAGATTAAGATTAGCTCCTTTACTTAATAATTGTCGTACAATCCTCAGTCTATTTTGGTTCACATCATGAGCATTTAGACAAATGAGTAAGGGTGTTTTATCTGAAACATATAAATGATATTATGAGTTTCTGGTTAATTCGTGTAAATTGTCTACTTTTTTCCATTCCATTTCTCTATTCCTTGCTCCAGTGATGTAAATCAGTATCAGAGTCTGGCCAGATTGTGGCCAGAGTATATCATTATTCAACTTACCATCTCCCTGTCGTCTGGCGTTGACTAAGTCTTGTTTGGAAGGATGATCCACCAATAAATCAACCAATTCTTCAAAACCTTTTTCACAAGCCAGATGTAGTACATTTTCATAGTATTGCATATAGTTACCATATCCATACTAGAATATAAGAAGAGCTACTTAATAATCTTACTTCAAAGCGGAACTATATTGATCATGGTCATAATGGAAACCTGGAAACCTGTATATAAAACCTAACCCTTGTTAACCCCAGTTTAACGATGTTGTTGGCTCTGTTGTCAGATTTCAAAGGTTCACATTCATTACAATTCATAATGCGCCAAAGGCTTTCAGTGTACCATTTTGTCATTTCCAATGGATCTATACTGTATTGCTTTGACTTTTAACTGCATCACTGACAGTTGAAAACCCGATCTAAATATTCGATCTACAAAGACAGTCAGATGAAAGGTTAAAAGCCAAACTGCGAAAAGGAGACTACTTACACTGACTCTTCGATAACAGTATTTAGTGGGGTCGGCACCTTGGTCTAAAAAACACTTGACAGCTACAATATTATTTCTGATTACAGCAATATACAGGGGTGTCTGAAATACGTCAATATGTTAGATAAATTTCATCTTTAGGAAATCTTTAAAAAATATGTTACTTATAGCTCTTGGTCATGGTGGTAGATTTCATATCTGAAACCCATGTCAGCAGCATAAGGGCGCACAATAAAACATCTTCATACAAGTCACACAATATATGAGCTTTCATCCAGCAATACTCTTATTTAAACTAAATGAGCTACTTGCTTCACTTCAATGAACATTAAGGAAGATGACTAACTGTATGGAATGTCGCACAAGATGTTATAAATCAACAAATAATTGGATCTGGTGAAGACTAAAGCCTATTCTTTTCAAAATTAATATGGGTATTACACGAAAGAATGCTGAAGCTTACCCTTTCATCACCATTAGTAACATTCATTGACCTTCTTAATTCACTACCATTGTCATGTTCCATAAACATCTTACATTCTGCTTTAAACTCATCTCCTGCTAAATAGGCTAGGTCATGAACTGGACTGAAATGAGATTCAATGTTTTGTTAATGATCTTTCAAAATTTGGAAAGTCATTTCCTTCTTCAAGTGGATCAAAAATATCTTATTAGTGCTCTTAATATTTCGCTGCGTGTTTTTTCTGCCATTCATATCAGGTGACAAGGAGTACTTTCTATGAATTACACCTTCACGTTCTACTTGCCCCTCATCCAAGTAAAGTGAAAACAACATATAATTTTGCTATGTAGACTCCACGACATTCAAGCTTACTTCTTTACGAAAAATCAGAGAGTGGGCTTCATACGTAGAGAGGAAAGATTAGCTTACGTATTCCTATCATCGTCGTCGTTTTCATCTTTGTCGCTTTCAGAATAGTTTTCTCTGTTTGGGTTTTGGGCTGTTTCACCTGTAGTATTAGCAATGTCATCAACTTCTGGGATTGGGCCAAAATACGTTGGATGTGGATAATCTGGTGATGATACGAAACATGTTCCAATAGACCCCTGAATGTTCACTGGACCGTCTTGATCATTAAAGTTTCTTGGTGATTCACCTGCAGTGGCTTTGGCAGACGACGAGCTGTGTCCAGAGCTTAGAGAAGAATTTGAACTGTACACAGAAAGGTTTTTACAATTTGATATAATATTTGGAATGTTGCCCTCTGGTGTTGATGGACAGGGTGATTGAGCTTCCATCATCGCAGGACTTTTTAAAGATGTTTGACTGGTTGGCGATGGTACGCTTTTCTCTGACGAGGTTGGAGATGAGGGCACAATACTAGTTGTAGGACTATTGTGTGAGATGTTTGTCCTTCTTGTACCCTTGCCTTGATTATCATAATGTATCATGTTGAAATGTCCATGGTTTGGAACATTGATTGGCGGACGAGTCGGTGAAGACAAGATACCAGCTGGGCCAGCAAACGACTGATTACTGTACGTATTATTATAGTCGTTTATCATTACGTTCTGCATATTCGTTGAGGAATCAAAAGGTTGATCATAATTGGGTATGTTGTAGTGGTTGGTCTCTGCAGCATTATATCCCTGGGATGATATGTTAACTGGAGGAAACTGTGGTGAGGGATTGACGGCAGGGTTTGTAAACTGGTATTGGCTATTCCATAATGCATTGTGGTGTGTTTGAGATACCAAATTCAATTTGTTCATATACTGTGTTGAGTCGTTGTTCGTCTGGTGATTTATTTGATATGGTGTCGTTTGTTTTTCCGCAGTACTGTACATATTTGCTCTAGTATGAAAGGTTTTGACAAAAGATGGGAGAGCTAAAGGGGGTCCTTGAATAACCTGTTCATTTGTATCAGTCATCGGATCTCTCTCTGGAGAATACTTTATAATGAAATCTTCCATAACACTCTTATCAACAAAGACGAGTTCTTCAACATAATCATTTTCGTGTAGTTCATGTTGTTGCATGGCTTCTGGCATATTGCCATATTGATTTCCCCTGAAGGGTTCTGGGTAAACTTCTGTAGAAGCTGGTGCACTTGGAAAGCGATTATATGGGCCCCGTCTCTGTGAGTTTGGACCATGGGCGTTATCTTGTCTCGGAACTTCATGATAGCTTTTATTTCTATTATTCTTTCCTCTTTCGGAAATCTTATTCTGAAACACAAAACATTAATTAATATTCAACTTGCAAGGCTAAAAAACAACAACCCTTATCACAGTTCCATGTCTACCACTCGCTGGCTACTACTGTGCAGCCAATCATTAGGTGATCAAGTAAAGGTAATCGCATCATAACGTATTAGAAAATAAAGAAATAACATCATAAGGAGATCAAATTGTGCACCAAGAGAGACATCATACAGTATGGACAAAGTCTTTTTCAGTAATTTCATTTCTGATTTCTATTAGGAAAGGTAGCACTCCTAGATGAGACAACTTGAATTAAAAATAAAAAAACTAGAAGTTGGGAAGTCACACTTTACCTGATCAATGAATGATTTGAGCTTGTCAAGCATTCCCTGACAACGTTCATGATCTTCATCAGGCTTCATCAAATCAGACTTGTCAATGGCAGCTTCGCAAGATCTGTATCCTGTGATATCTTGCTCTGTTGCGCCTGTAACTAGCCTTCCGCCGTACACATGCGGATAGGAATCGTCTTTAATTGAAAGCTGAGAAAAGCCACTTAAAATGTCTGAATTGTCTGAGAATTGGGCTTCAACAGCGTCGGTGTAAATGGACTGATAAAGGCTGAAACTCTTTCTTAATTCTGGATTCGCTTCATCGGCCTTCTTCACAAGTACGTTTAATGGCTTCACAGTGGTAGGATTCTTGGCTATTAATGTAGAGGGGGGATAATGAACTTCTACTGAGGACGACAACTTAGGTTCTGTTCCAGACCCATACAGTCGGCTGTCACCATCGTCAGAATGCTCCTCATAATCTCGATGTACTAAGATTCTTGATAATGTGTCTTCAGGAGATAAATCACCAGAGCTGGTCAACGAACTGTTCATTGATGACACTCCTGAAGAACACAGGGAAATACTTTCTTTCAAGTGTTCATCGGATCGTGGACTATTTTCTGGTATGCCCATAAAACCACCAGTGTCACTTATATCAGGTCCTCGGGCAACCACTGGTATCGTGTTACTTTTATCAGGACCTCTGACAATAAATGGTATAGTGTCATTTTTATCAGGACCTCTGGCAATAAATGGTACAGTCACGTCTTTCACATTATCAGGACCTCGGACAACAAAAGGTACACTGTCTTCTTCCAAGTGTAATTCCATCTCTGAAATACAAACATATTCAATAAATTCAGGTAAAGCGTTTCAAACTACACCCCCTGATCAATGCAATGAATAGATGGGACCAAGGTTTAAAAAGAAGTGACTCTGATTTTGTTCATACGAGAGGAGTGGCCGTTATTTATATATCGGCAAGTTTCGTATGTGTTTTTAAATTTACCAAACTAACTATAAAAATGATTATAACCTCAGTTCCTCATTCGAGGTTAATCTTTTAAATTTTAAACCCTTTTTAAATCAGTTCATTGGTGCTTCGTATATAAGTATGGCATCGTGTCCAAACTACACTCGCATAAATCATACTATGTCAAAACCCTTTGGGATACGATGTTATGTAAGACCACAGTCAAGTTCTCGGGTTGGGTATATTTTCGCCTGGTGATTTCCTTTTCATTTTTTTTTTAATTCATTTCAAAATAGCATCTGCATGTCTGGTTATATTCCAACCGTCTCAAGCAAACAAATTTGTATCGCACGAGCACTGACGCCACGAAAACAATTCTTGAAAACCTGAATCTGCTACCTCCACAATTCATTAATCCAAATGGAAGCCTATACATTGTTTGAGTTATTTGATATTTTGTTATGTCCCGACTTAAAAATCTGCCTTTTACTAGTAAATAATTAATCCAAACATTAGACTTTTCCTTCTTCAACGGTCTACCATGAAGGTCCCTCGAAAAACTGTCAAGGATTGTCGAATGTCAAATATAGGCCTATTCCCGGCCCCTGGTAGCAGAAACATTGAAAGAATACGATATAAGAGTTAATAAAGTTTGCTTTGTGTTTATATTGTGCTGTAGGTTATACACACAAAGCAATAAATGTATATAAATATATATTTGTGAAATATAAAATGGTATTCAAGTGAAAGGAAATACATGTCGCTCAATAGACTGTATTTTATTAATTATAAATATATAATATAAGTCATTAAGGCATTATGAAACATTGGTAATAATTCGGGTATTCCCCCAAAAATTTCAGTTTCATATTTGACTCTTGTTCAATTAACATTTCATGTTATTTATATAACATTTATTTAAATCTGGCCATAGATGTATATATATATATCTGGAATAAGTTTACAGTATTTTTTAAAGGAATGCGAATTGTAGCCTACCCGCAATTCGATAAAATTCATAATGTCTCTACTGTAACACATATTTCCAATTTGTGTGTAATAAGATCAGTTGTAAGCATATAATTTTAAAGGGGCAAATGCGCAATTTTTTTGACCATTCATACTTAAGTCTCAAAAACGTTTTTTAGCTACGCAAATCAGTAACAGCGTTCACAGCTAATCGTCAAATCCATTTGTGGCCAGAACTTAATTAAAGTTAAAAAGAGTCGTCTTTATTTGAGACACTTTCATAAAATGAAAAGACGTCGCTATAAAAATCGAAAAAGAAATTCCTGGTTTGAGATATTTTGATAATATTTCTAGTAGCCTACTTCTGAAGACAATTTATATATATTCAAGATTCAAATCAACCCCCCAAAATTGCCCACTTGTCCTTAAAGTAAGGAAATTTATTTCACAGATCAGAAAAGAAAAAAATGGTACTAAACATTACATTGCGAACACATCATAGCTTATTGTTGGATTAACTTTATTCGCTTGCACACATTAAAATCAAATCGCTGCATTTACAAACTTCCACGGAACAAGAATAATGTCTATTGCAGCCAAGGTATAAGTCTATGTTTGACATTATGAAGATGGTGCACAAAAAGCATTAACATATATAGACACATACGTTTGAGCCTAAGATAAATACGATTAGATGTAATACATTGTCATTAAAACTGTGACGTCAGGACGTCTCATGATATAACACCGATAGGGGGAGGATTCCTTGATTTGTTTTTTCATTGCCAGCATTAAAGTCGTAAATACGGTCTGCCTCGGGCTTTCACAAATTCGTTGAATTCTTTGCCTCGTATATTTTAGGTTTCAAACACTATACATATGAATAGCGGCATTTCCTAGATTTTATCCAATGATAATACACTGCACAAGAGTCCGGTGATTTCCCTAAATTGTCCAAACACTCCTAGTTTTTTTTATAAATATTTATTTGAACATGCATAAGGTCACTAAAAATAGTAATCTTCTCCAGAAACAAACGGTAGCGAAATATTTAAGACAATCCTTACTAAGTGTACTAATTAAGTATTCCAGTATTCTGGCGAATCCTGGATGGATTGGGAGAGACCACCGCCAAAATAGCAAACTACAATGTATTCGTATAGGTCTACTTCTATTCGATATGACGTATAGGACGAATAGTATAGCACTAATGATTAATTAAAATCATTAATTAGTATCGTCAATCTTATGCACAATAATATTGATTTGACAGATTCATAAGTCATAATGGTCTCCGTTAATTCGGGAATTCATGGAGGTAATACTTGTTACATGACTTTAATTGGGCGAAAACTTTCTCAAAAACAGTTTGATTTCAAATTATTCCATCATTAACTTAATGTATTTTCAAGTTTTTTTTTATATTTAGGCCCATAAAACTGATAGATTTAAGTAAATTTTACCATGACAAAAGTATGCACAAATTTCAATTAATATCAGCAGAGAGAGTTAGACTAGTTTAGTATCTTTATTGGTTATAATTTTTTCAACATGAATCTTATTTCAAATGTTTTACACCTAAGCAATATTTTGAAATCTTGATTAAGACTATAACATAAATAATGCAAAAATGTGCAAAAATTGTCCAAGTATTCAAAAAATAACTCAGACCTTTTCAATACTTACAATAATAAAACATTATACCTAGATTATAGATGTAAGTATTCCAAAAATTATGCATATACAAAATATATCAATTTTCAGTAACATTGCCAAAATGGGTAGCCTTTGTGTGTCAAAATAATTAATGTATGCAAAAAGGAAAAAAGGCATCAATTAGTCGCCTACTTACAAAAATTTCAAACGTTGATCGAAATCCAAAGTATATAGCTAACCAAAAATGAAAAAATCAATGCGTATACGATGTTATTGTTATTGCTTTACAAAGAATAATTTTTTGATTTATGGAAATATTCTTGGAAATTAATTCACCTAGGCATGTAAAAATTATCTTAAAACTCTATCATGTATATATGTTCTTCACAGGCGTTGACCGGTAGGGCTTATCAACATTACAAAATTAATTCAAAGTGTTCCAAAATGACAAAAGTATAATACCGTACTTAATTGATTTTTTTTGTGTAATAAAAATATATAAATGTATATATGTTCTTCACAGGCGTTGACCGGTAGGCCTTATCAAACGAATTTGCCACATTTTTTAATAGATCCGTAAAAAGAGAAAAATAGCACGTATCTTAGAAAAGCATTTTTTCCCTTAAAATCACAGTTTATTTTTATTTTGATTATGTTCTTATTTCAAATTCTTTAGTTTGAGATAAAATAATGTGGAAAAGTTAGAACGGTACAAAAACACGTAGTCTTTGTAATTTTTGATTATTATACATGACTGACCTTAACGCCTTTCCTTTCCACATCAATTAACTAAAGTATGTAAAGATAGCTTGCCAGGTAAGGCAAGGTACGCCCTGGCAGTTGTCAGCAATATTTACAGTCTTTAGCGACTTAAATAATAATCTTATTATTTTAAAGACCTCCATAAAAGTATAAGTAATAATGCCTACAAAAATTTATCAAATTTTTAACAAGATCCGTAAAGTGACAAAAATAACTTTTTCCTCAGAAAAGAAGATCAATGTTTTTTCTCAAAGCCCCGTGCAGTCGATTTTAAACTATAATTAAATACATAAGGTAACTATAGCCTACCGACAGCTTTGTTAAAATTAGAACATATGGGCGAACGGCAACCATCAGCAATATGTAATATCCAACACTTATATTTCTTTCAGAACTTTTTTTATGTGTTGATAAGGCTCTTCCTTAAGTGATGATAAAAACTTCTAGAGTGGCTTCTAGTGTTCACAAGCTTGAAATAAAGGCATTTCAATCAGCGAAACAGTGAAAGTAGTTTGAAGAACAAGGGCAATAACTCATAAAATAAAATATTTTTCGACTTTTTCTCAACATGTTAAAAAAAATTTTCACCAAATTTTGTCAACATCCGTCAAGAATAGTGCCTTCTAGGGCGTTTAAATGTGGACAGACAGACGGACCATCCATTTAATAGTTTTGTTTCTTTTCAATGACATGTTTCGAACTTTGACTGTATACCATGGTTATGAATATAAACACGTCTTGATTCTTGGGACCTAATTCCTGCTATATAAATATTTATACTATATATTCCAAAGGACACGCATTTGAAAATGAATCAGACACATAGACCTTCATAAATATAAAGATATATTTCATACAATGATGTACAACATAACGAAACTATTATTTAGGCTACATTGTTACCTTAAATTAGATTAGGTTTAATCATTATTTAACAGGCTGCAGCTAAATCATAAACAACTAACAATCCAATAATATTTGTATTCAAGATTGCAACACAAAATGGCGTCTTTTGGTTGATGATGACCCTCTAGACAGTTTCTTAAAAGGTATGTTTTCTAAGGTCTTATTGGTTGCAATTTGTTTGTAGGCGGGCCCAATATATAACGATCAATGGCAGCTTACCTGGCCTTTCAAAATACCTTGGTATTAGTAGATCGAAATGAATACCAATAGGTTAAACTGGGCGGTTGTATACAGTTAAGGGATAACGTCATCTAAATATTTGATTAGCCAGATGAAAAAACACAATATCGGCATCAGCTATCCGTAACGCATTTCAGAATCAAAGTCGTACATCCGATTCTCCTTCAATTAAAAGGATAGTAAATGCCCTCGACAGCAGAAAAGGTGGACAACGCCCGTTTATTTTTGACGCTATACAGTCAGGGACAATAACTATGAAACTGTTAATCGAAACGTCATCAATTTGGAACTCAATCCACACAAGCTCAGCAAATTACATTTTCAAACTTGGTCAATAAGAGCATATATATTCATTAACAGGATCCTGATATAATCCGGTAATTCCAAAAAACTTAATAATTACATGTATCCATAAAAATGCAATTAACCATTGAAAAACGCTTAATATTAAAATAAAGCGTTTTTCAAAAAATACTTAGTTTTATGAATTTTCCAATTTTCCAAATAAACATGGAAATGAGAATGCAACCATCGCATTACTACGAAAGTTTATGAAAAAGAAATTATCAACAAGGATTATTCACCATCTTTCTTTCCAGGTAAGTTACTAAGATTTTCCTAAAAACAATTTCTTTTGCAGTTTTTGAAACTAGGAATAGGGAAATGACAGATGAACCATATTGATTGGTAATGTGACTAAGAGCAAAACAATGATTCTGGTGGTCCATCAGTATCGGAAAAAGATACTCGGAAAGTCAAATTGTTTCGGGATGATACAAGGGAGGTCACAATGATTCTGGTGGTACTGCTTTAAAGACAATGATACTGAGGAATTAACAATGATTCTGGTAGTACTGCTTTAAATACAATCATACTGAGGAATTAACAATGATTCTGGTAGTACTGCTTTTAAGACAATGATACCTAAGAATTAACAATGATTCTGGTAGTACTGCATTAAAGACAACGATACTGAGGAATTAACAATGATTCTGGTGGTACTGCTTTAAATACAATCATACTGAGGAAATAACAATGATTCTGGTAGTACTACTTTAAAGACAATGATACTGAGGAATTAACAATGATTCTGGTAGTACTGCTTTAAATACAATGATACTGGGGAATTAACAATGATTCTGTCGGAACTGTTTTACATATAATGATACTAGCCAGGTCACAATGATTCTGGTGGTACTGCTTTACAGACAATGATACCGAGGAATTAAGAATGATTCTGGTGGTACTTCTTTAAAGACAACGATACTGAGGAATTAACAATGATTCTGGTAGTACTGCTTTAAATACAATGATACCGGGGAATTAACAATGATTCTTGTAGTACTGCTTTTAAGACAATGATACTGAGGAATTAACAATGATTCTGTCGGAACTGCTTTACATATAATGATACTAGCCAGGTCACAATGATTCTGATGGTATTGCTTTACAGACAATGATACTGAGGAAATAACAATTATTCTGGTAATACTGCTTTAAAGACAATGATACTGGAGAATTAACAATGATTCTAGTGGTACTGCTTTAAATACAATGATACTGAGGAAATAACAATGATTCTGGTGGTACTGTTTCAAAGACAATGATATTGAGGAATTAACAATGATTCTGGTAGTACTGCTTTAAATACAATGATACTGAGGAAATAACAATGATTCTGGTGGTAAATCTTCATAGACAATGATACTGAGTGAGGAATTAACAATGATTCTTGTAGTACTGCTTTAAATACAATCATACTTTGGAATTAACAATGATTCTGGTAGTACTGCTTTAAATACAATGATACCGGGGAATTAACAATGATTCTGGTAGTACTACTTTAAATACAATCATACTTGGAATTAACAATGATTCTGGTAGTACTGCTTTAAATACAATCATACTTGGAATTAACAATGATTCTGGTAGTACTACTTTAAAGACAATGATACCGGGGAATTAACAATGATTCTGGTAGTACTACTTTAAAGACAATGATACTGAGTGAGGAATTAACAATGATTCTGGTAGTACTACTTTAAATACAATGATACCGGGGAATTAACAATGATTCTGGTAGTACTACTTTAAATACAATCATACTTGGAATTAACAATGATTCTGGTAGTACTACTTTAAAGACAATGATACCGGGGAATTAACAATGATTCTGGTAGTACTACTTTAAAGACAATGATACTGAGTGAGGAATTAACAATGATTCTGGTAGTACTGCTTTAAATACAATGATACCGGGGAATTAACAATGATTCTGGTAGTACTACTTTAAATACAATCATACTTGGAATTAACAATGATTCTGGTAGTACTGCTTTAAATACAATCATACTTTGGAATTAACAATGATTCTGGTAGTATACTTTAAATACAATGATACTGAGGAATTAACAATGATTCTTGTAGTACTGCTTTAAATACAATCATACTTTGGAATTAAAAATGATTCTGGTAGTATACTTTAAAGACAATGATACTGAGTGAGGAATTAACAATGATTTTGGTAGTACTGCTTTAAATACAATCATACTTTGGAATTAACAATGATTCTGGTAGTATACTTTAAAGACAATGATACTGAGTGAGGAATTAACAATGATTCTGGTAGTATTGCTTTAAATACAATGATACCGGGGAATTAACAATGATTCTGGTGGTACTACTTTAAATACAATGATACCGGGGAATTAACAATGATTCTGGTAGTACTACTTTAAATGCAATGATACTGAGTGAGGAATTAACAATGATTTTGGTAGTACTACTTTAAATACAATGATACCGGGGAAGTAACAATGATTCTGGTAGTACTACTTTAAAGACAATGATACTGGGTGAGGAATTAACAATGATTCTGGTAGTACTGCTTTAAATACAATCATACTTTGGAATTAACAATGATTCTGGTAGTACTACTTTAAAGACAATGATACCGGGGAATTAACAATGATTCTGGTAGTACTACTTTAAATACAATGATACTGAGTGAGGAATTAACAATGATTTTGGTAGTACTGCTTTAAATACAATGATACCGGGGAATTAACAATGATTCTGGTAGTACTGCTTTAAATACAATCATACTTTGGAATTAACAATGATTCTGGTAGTACTGCTTTAAATACAATCATACTTTGGAATTAACAATGATTCTGGTGGTAAATCTTCATAGACAATGATACTAGGAAAGTCATAATGTTTCTGGCGGTTCAGCTTTATAGACAATGATACTGGGGAAGATAGATCAATGATTCCGATGGTCTAGACAAGTTTATGAGAAATTACTGTTTCCAATCTTTATATAGTTTTAAGAGTTAATTATAAAGACAGTGGCACATGAAACGGTAGATGCAAAAACTTAGGCTAACGTGTAAAAATAAAACAATAGATTTAATATATTAAATGAATTTCTTGAGCAATGAAACATCTACATTACATACCATGGCATTGGTGTAAAAGTCAATTATATGTGAATTGAAAGTATATTACCTGCCTTCGAATATTATTGATCAAATTAGGCCAAACCTTTTAAAAACGGTATACTTTAAATATGAGGAAAGTCGCCATTTTGATAACAAAAACCTATTACAGTGTAAAAGTTTAGTCCCTATTTATAAGTCATAAAATTCATTGACCATATCTCCTAATTCGTGACTAGTTAATCGAGTTGTTTTACTACGAAGCTTCCTAGAAATATGATATAAATAGACATGATAAATACGATTTTATATCCTTACACATATAGACATACCTAAGACTTTACAATCGAACGTTTTCAGGACAAAGGCCCAAAGTTACATATTTGGCCAATATTGGCCTAGCAGACAGGGACAGAATCAGTGTCTCTACTACCATAGGGATATTAGTTGAATTTGTCCCCTCTTTGCCCTTAAATTTTTTTCCAACAAAATCAAGAGGTACTTTATTTCATTTCACCCAGAGCCAAATATCCCACGGTCTGTAACCAATTGGACTCCAATCGGAAATCAGGGGTGAGCATTTTTTTTTATGAAAATCAACACAATTCTAAATCCCAAAGCAATTTTGTCTCATGAGAAGGGGGTGCAATTCTTAGCTTTGGTACTTTTTGAATAATCCGGAAATAAAAAGTTCTGCAGTTTTTTCTGGATCCCATGACTCATCCAAATTGAACTCTAGCTTCTTTTATGCAAACAAACCACTGGTTTTGGCAGTTTATGTCTAAATAGTTTTGATTATGTCAAGAGCAATAACCCTAAAACACTTCAAGCATCGTTATATTACCTGACCATCGAGATCATATCAATCTACATCAGCATATCGAGTTTCATCCAGACTGGTGTTCCAAATAAGCTGAAAGCAATAACTGTAACCATCGTGCTTCAGAGAGGTCAAGCGCATTTACTGCAATACTTTTCAGGTTAAAAAAGCTCTGTACCACCCCCTTTTTTGCATTTAGAAATAATCTAATAGATTTCTGACCAATGCATGTATTTATGATTCAGTGGCAAGGAATTTTTGAATGTCTGTAGCCAACCATAACATGTTTATCTCCCCTTCACTGTGTATATCTTCATTACCAACTTTTTGCAACAAGAATACTATTTGCGACCATCTTGTAATGGGGAGTATCCGGTTTTCTGGGGTAAGTCCCAAGAAATTACCAACACCGATTTGCCAGGGCAGAAACAAGAATATATTAATCATTTCCTCTTGTAGCCAATTAAGAAATATACACTAAGCAGCTTGAATATAGGGTGAATTTAGCTTGCCCGGCAAGGTAGAATACGCCCACTTACAGCTTTTAGTGTTTACAAGGACAAGGTAAACGAAAAATTCATAGGGATTATCTTCATAATGACATTGACCCACAAAATAAAAAGCAAAAAAATCTGTAAAGAATTGTTGCCTGTAGAGTGAGCAGAGTTGCCCAATATAGCTAATAGATTGAAAATATCTCAGACATGAGTCAGACATGATATTTCTGAGAAAAATTATCTCATCATCACCAAAATCGATAGGGATGATCTTCATGACATAGACCCACAAAATAAAAATCCATAAAGAATTGTTGCCTGTAGTCTGCAGGGTGCTTACAATATATGCCTAAAATATATTTGTGGGTGTATAAAAAGGCATTAAACAATAAAATCATCGAATTACTATCAATAACCAATAACAGTGTGAACTCAATATTTTATTCGAGTTAGTCAAACAGTTGTACAGTTTATTTGAGCTTCTTTTTGGGTCTCAAACTGCTAGTGTGTCCACATTTACGTTTTCTGCAATTGGTGGCTCGAGGGTGAAGACGAGCATAACATCTGAAAAAAAAACCCCAAATTTTGTAATGAGAATAACAGTATTATTAAGTATTTATAGCTGATATAACTGTATTCTCATATTGTTTCATTTACATTTTACCATCACTTCAGCCCAGTGGAATTGCCTCAATAACATTTCTTTTATACTTGCCTTCCACCAGGGAAAGCAAAACTGATTTTGCCTCTTTAAGTACCAAGAGCATCTTCAGAGTATCATAGAGAGTGCTATATTACTATAGAAATTGATTATTTTTCTTACTTTCTGCAAATCATTTTGTCACAATTGTACTTTGAAGCCAAGATACGTAAACTCGGTTCAATAATACCACCTCTCAATCTCAATACCAAGTGAAGTGTAGATTCTGAAATTAAAAAAACATTTCACTAACTGATTGAACCGACACTAGTTGCAGGTGAAAGAATTACAGGAGTTCAGTGACAGGACCATTACCTAGAAGACTTGTAGATACATCCAGGTTTTATTCTTCTCTTTCTTATGGTTAGTACATATTCCATAATATATATATTATATAACCCAATTCAATTTTTCAACAACAGCTGAAAATGAACTAGATTAGTTGAAGAGTATATGTTTTTAATTCATTCTGTTAGTTCCTCTTTGAGTAAAATCCTACCTTTTTGAATATTGTAATCTGAAAGAGTTCGGCCATCTTCTAATTGTTTACCAGCGAAAATCAAACGTTGCTGATCTGGAGGAATGCCTGAAAAATGAGAAGAAAATTATCGTTTAATGGGCAACTGATTGGATGGTATATGTCAACAATGACTTACTGAAGATGTGTATAATTATGCATTTAGATTCAACAAATATACATGATGTGCTTGAGAGCAACAGTCATGCATATATAATATGGTTTACTATCTGGTGTTCAGTCAATTCGTTTACATGTCAAGTCGTCAATATCATTTTGATCCAAAATCAGGTGAGAAAAATTGTGTCTTTTCAATATACCGTCTGCTTTGTGATTTTACCTCAATCAGCACAAAGAACACCTGCTGGGATACTATCTATTTTTAGTAACATAAGCTCCCTTCCTTCAATACGGATTATTCAAAATCAAATGAGAGACAAATTAAGTCCCCTAATCTGTTATTTACTTTATTCAATTGCTTCAATTTACAATAACTAAGAACGAATATCGATATATTTGATACCATGGCATGATTTGCAGAATGCCAATGAACCTTGTTTTCATGCCCTGATTTTGACATAAGGGGTACGGTGGCCTCTTTTGCGATCCTTTTTTTATTAGGGAATTAACAACACTTGATATAACCATGTAGGCTACTTCAAGCTATCACTGAAAAAGTAAAATCAAATCGATCCTTATTTAATCGTTCAATTTTACTGTCTCCTCTTGATCAGAACTCTTTTATAATGAAAGTAGTTTTTGTATATGAAAACACTTTCCCCATCATATTTTTGTTAACGAGTTGACTCTGCAAATATTGTAGACGATTTAACTTTTGTCAATGAAATTTTGTCAACAAGCAGATATGTAGACGAGTTGACTGGTAATCTACCATCTCACCTTCTTTATCTTGAATTTTAGCTTTAACATTTTCTATGGTATCAGCTGGCTCAACCTCAAGGGTAATTGTTTTACCCGTCAGGGTCTTTACAAAGATCTGCATCTTGATTCAAGATGTCTAAAATAACAAAATTGGAATTTTAAATTTGAGGTACCAGTACTTCATTTTATTTGAGGCACTGATATTTTGTTATCTTATATTGTTTTGGGTCCCATAAGATCCAATTTAACATTAATTCACAAATATCTTATTTCAGATTTTTTTGTACACAAGTCAAGTACATAATGTCAAGTTGTTGTAAACAAGGTACATCTTTTATCCATTATTACCTAACACTTGGTCACAAATTTTAACAGTAAAAACGGTAACAATATATTTTGGTTAAAAAGTAACAAAACAAAATTTATTCATAATAACTCATACTCGAAGGTTCCAGTTAGGTATATATACTGATCATAATTTTAACGACATATTTCCTGAAATTCATAATGTCAACTTACCTTTATATGTTTTACAATTAAAGAAAATAAGATTTTACAGTACATTTTATGGTGTTATCGTTTTGGTATATCTTACCGTTAACATTATAAATGAAACTTTTTGTGTCAGATAGGTAAAATTCAGTATAAATAATCAAATATCTTGTTACTGTTTTGGCAGATCTGTTACAGTTTTAACCTAAATATATGGTTACCGTTTTAACAGATCTGTTACCGTTTTGACTATTAAATCTTTTTACCGCTTTGACATGCTACCGTTTTAACTGGTATTCATACAAAATGGCATATTTAGCTACTTGGTGGTCTGTCTCTGGCCGGCATGTATTGGTTCCCCCCCCCCTTTACAAGTTCCTCCCTAGTGGATTCCTCTTAGTGGTTTCCACCCCTTTTTAATCCTAGTGGTTTCCTCCCCTAATTAATTTGTAATAAACTAATTAAAAACCTGTTAATATTGATCAATTAATGTGATGGATTAACATAAAATCAAAAAGACATTGGAATAAATTGCTTTGTTATTCCTAATCAGAGACATGTAATCTGTTGGCAAGAATATGATAACATTTCATCTTTCTTACACCTTAATTAATCCTTTATTGATGTAATTATCAACTTGGCCTGTAGAGTCAACTGTCGGTCTAGCACATGCCATGGCATATATTTTACAGGCTTGTTATTTGATATAAAAGTGCGAGTTTTGAGATTAAATATGAATCTTTTCCAAAATAATGTTAATCTGCTGAATTTGTTCATAATTAGAAAGAAACCACTCAAACACCTACCCAAAACGTAAAACACGACGATATCTAAAATTCATTGACAATGAGAGGGACAGTAATTTAAGGGATTGGGAATGAAGGCAAATAAGTAAAAATAAAGGAACAGATTCAACATGCTTGCAATAATAAAGTATTTATAAACCCAATGATCATGTTTTTGTTCAAAGGTCCATACAGTTCAATCATTATTCATACCCTAGAAGCAAAATTTATCAAAATACGAGTAGAAATAAACGAAATAGCACAGAGCCATTTCTCGCCTCATGGGCGCCGCCATCTTACCTAGCCAAAGAGAAAGATGTGGGGTCTTCCTTTACAAAATCACGGATTGACAACTTACCATCAGATGTCGCTTTTCTATTTTGACCCCTGGAAAACCTATGACCTTTTACCTTTGACGGAAATTGACGGAAAATATCGAAGATTTCCCGCATGTTTTCATTCTTCAGGCTTTGTTGATTAAAGCTGTTTGATTGGTTGATAGTAACCGGTACCCGTGCTTTGATTGGATAATAAACATCAAACAGTATTAGATTCGCTCTAATGTCGACTATAGAGATGCAAAGCGTGTAGAATTCCCACGCTTGTTTCCCATAGAAAATTGAAGGAATTTAAAAGCTAAAAGTTGTGTTTTCTTATTTTCTAATGGGGACACGTTTGTGAAAACTTTTTTCGGATACTGTCATGAATTGGGCATTACCATGTGTTATGCTAGCGCTTGTCATTTTCGGCGTAATCGGTAAGTAAACAAAAAGTTTTCATAGTTTCTTTCTGTTCAGCTTCTCCATTGATTCCTCTGTATGTGACTGTGGAATCGTTTAAATTCCTTTATCCTAGATCTATAGACTGATAGAATTCCAATGGTCACCCAATTGCTTCTTTTATAAGAATATTGGTATTTTGTCTAACTTTCGTTTTGATTTGTTCAAATTGCATTGTTTTATTCAATGAAAAATCAGACAATTAAAATAAATGATAGAATTGATTCCGTATAATTTTACCATTTCTTCAACCAGCAAATTCTGACAGCTTGTGTGGAACTGATGAATGTTTTCACCTGTCCTTTTGAATTAGTCTGTAACTTTTCAATTAGATAGTTTAACCTGTAAAACCAGCCTTTGGAAAAATATAATGATATATTTAATAGTAATTTTTTTTTGTCTATTTCTATTTCTAATGATATATTTCTATTTCTAATGATATATTTCTGTTTATAAATAATGTTTTGTTTGAAACACAGGTTTTTAATCTGTTTATATTTTATATAGAAAAAATTAAGAAAGTCAAAACATATATGTATGAAGTTTATATTCACTTTTTTGTACAAACATAAAGTTTTCCTTTAAACCATATTAACACAAAATGTGACAAAGTTATACTGGCCTCCCATCTGATAATTAGTAAAGAAGCCTGTAGGTGTATATTGATATGGTTTATCTGGTGTATATTATATAAAAACTGTTGATTATTGTTGATATACCACATTTATTAGCAGGGTATATAGAATATTGACTGCTGAATACAATATACTTAAAGGGAGTGTGTATGATGTACAGTACAATGTTTTGAAGTGATTAATTCATGTATAAACATATGCCATATAGAAAAGGGGGAGGCTACATTTTAGATATCTTACCATTGAATTCTGAAATGTACCATTATGTTTTCAGAATTTCATAGTAAAAAATATCTGGCATAGAGATTTGTGTGAATTAGTCCAAATTTTGACTTTCAGAAGTCCTTATATTCTCAAGTTTCTATCAAACTGGGAATAATTGTATTCTTAAAGGAATAAGAAAAGTTAAAGACAAGGTCAATACATTGTCTTGAAGACTTTGAAAGACAGACAGAAAATCTTGTTTGTAAGCTGACTACCTTAGAGAAATCTATTTTAATGAATCAAGTTAGTTGATTTTCAGACCTCTGATTGATTTCTAGAAAGAACCATGTTAATTTAACTTGACCATGTCTACTAACTTTCTTTGTTTTCTTATACACTTAAGATTTTTGATTTTTGATACTCATATCAATTTCTGAACAGTTTGATTCTGTAGAATGTCGAACATAATAAAATACCAAGCTATTTCAGATAGATTGATCTAATTGAATATTAAGACAATAATTGGTTATTAGACAACAGTGGCCAATATATGAATTTACTAGATCAAATGTTGGTTGACAAGAACTCGTGTGACCTTGTTGAAAATCTTGATAGATATTGGTATTCCAGATAGGAAATTTATTGAAAACTACATGGAATTTAAGACCTAATCAAATTACTTTCCAGATATATAAGTAATTTTCTTTGACAGGTACCAAATTTGATTATCATTGCAATGGACTCTGGTTTGTAGCAATATTTCATTGCCTGTAAATGATTTGTTTTGGAAGTATGTGATCATGTCTGACAAGGCTTCTGTGATCACTAATAGATTTTGAAAGACTGTTGGGATATGGTGTTCAAGATCTTTATGGTTTTGGATGTATGTTTGTTTTCTATATTTAAGTTTTGAGAGTTTAATGATCTCTTGGGATTGAAAGTAAAAAGTCTCTTTTGTCTCTTATTGTTTGAAAGTCTGAAGAGTCTCTTATCCTTGAAAGATAAAAATCTCTTAGTTTTAAAGATCTGACATTTCTGTCGCGAGGAATAAATTGGTGCTGGGTCTCAGATTTTGTACTCGGAAAAATTGAAAAATTAAAGATCCAGAGAACTCAATTCTGACAATTTTGAGGTGCCAAAAACGCATCAAAATTTTTGATTTTTTACAAAGACACTGTAAATGAATTGATCTCTGCTGAACTGAAGAAGGTTTTGCTGGGGACCAGCCCCACACAGACCCCACCCTAACGACGGAGCTGTGACAACAGTTTTTTTGTCTTGTAAGTATGATAGTCCTTTGATCTTAAAAGTCTGGCCTTAGAATTCTGTCAGTCTCTTTTGGTTTTGATAGTTAACTGATGTTGATGAAAATTTGAAATTTGATTGGAGAATATTGAAAAATTTGAAAGTATTAAATGTTTGAATGAATTTCACTGAATTTGAATGAAATTATTTATAACATAGTTTCTATTGAATGAACACTTGTCAAGTTAAAGCTATTTACTATAAATAATAGATAAACTATGGCATTCTTTACTACCTCTCTTAGTCGTTTGATGTTAGTTACCTTTATTATTCACTTCAGTAGTTTTAAGGTTTTAAGTTCTGGTAATTTGAAGAATTTAAAAGCAGTAATAAGTTCATGTTGTGTTTATTCTTTCTAGAACTGGATAACAGTCAACAGATTAGATAAAGCTTAGTTGTACATCAAGGAAAACCATGCAACTACCCCAAATCTTGACTTTTAAAGTTTATATTGTTTCAGTTATTACAAAAATGTATATAATATTTTTTGTTATATAGCTATATATTTATTAATTAATGAAAAATTGATAATCAATCTAATAGTGAATAAAAAACAATTACATGCTCTAACCATTAATCAAACATAAAAATCAGATGTAACAGGCAATAATTTTTATTGCTGTATTGTGGATCTGTTTTTGTGTTTATGATCATCATATTGGTTTCATTCGCTTTGCTTCCATCATGTAAACTAAAGATCATTAGATATTCTTGCAGAAGAAATTAAATATTGTTTAATCGTAGAGTTTAGTACCTTAGAGACACCAATAATTAATGGTTAGGGATTCTTACTCTATCTTTATGACAGGCAAATTAAACTGCCATATGCCACTTTTCACTCATAATCTTACATTCAATATTCAACAGATTCTTCTGTGAAATGTGATTGTTTGGGTAAATAGCACATGGTCTAAAAATGTC